CTGATAAATACATATTAGTTTCTATGATAGAGATCTGGGAGAAAAACACAGTTATAAATATTTACATGAGCATGAATAGACGTAAGCATTATTTGAAAAATCATTTTTTTTTATATTTTTATGAATAATATGTGCTTAAGGCAATTAGATACATTACAATATATCCCATATCACGGAAAAACAAGGAAGAAAAGCATTTCAACAGTTAATTGTAACCTTTTTTTCTGAAAACACTCGTACGTTTAGGTAATTGGATAAAAAATCACACCATTTCTTTACACAGCATGAAGTGAAACTCAAAATAATTTCTAATAAACCTCAACTTATTTAATTTGCACTAAGAGCTTATTAAGTGAAGTAAATGTAGTACAGTTAAAGGGTGATAAAAAAAATCTCAAATAATTTATCACTTTTTTTTAACGGAACTTATATTTGTTTACCCGCTCAAAAATCCGATATATTATTATTTTTAATATTTTCTGCCGAAAAGTGGATAATCGATTACATAAACTTTTTGTAAATCTTGATACATATATACATACATACAGGCTATCCCTTTATTAAATAGTAAAATATTTATAGGAGTAAATATAACAATATTTATACATCTATATGTAAACAATGATCTGATCTCCTACAGAGAAGTAGAAAGTTCGAGTATGTGTTGTTGTTTTTTTAAATAAATTTCGTTATTGTCAAATATTTAGGGATTACTAAAACATTTTTTTTTTAATTTAAAAGCCGAATAATTTTCTGTCAAGTTTAAATTTTCAAATCTTGTTGAGAATATAAAAACCTAGTTGGTTTGTCTTTTAAAAGCTCGGTCATGTTATTAAAGAATCTGCAGTCTTCGCTTAGAGCATTGGGGAGGATTCGAGGAATGTTGAAGTTGGTCATTTTCCTGCCGTACTTCGATAATACACATCACTGTTAGGGCTGTTTGACAATCCTGACATTTTTAATGGTGTCTCATTTGACTGCCAGGAGCACATCCACTTCTTAAAACTAGGTTTAACTAATCTAAGTTTATTTTCTGGAAAATAGCAGTACTTCAGGTGGGCTTCAGTTGCAGCTGTATTGGCCGTATCGTTACCTTATATACCAATATAAGAATTATCGTTCTGCTGAAAGTTTAATGTCGAGAAGGCAATGGAATTTTTAAAGAAATTTGGAATATATTTAAGAAAAACTAATTGCTTTTTGATTTTAAAAATGTACTTGCGCCTGTCAACTTATTGTTAACAATCAGCAAATGTGCTGGACATAACAGGCATGGGGAAGGAAAGTACTCAGCAGCGCCTCTTCACCAACTTGTTACTATTACTTAGGTTGTTAAGGAAGGAGATCTCTCATCCAACGCCTTTTTAGTCCCCTCCTCATGTTCTGAGGCGTCAACAATGGCCATGTCTCTTCTTAGTCTGTTATTATGTGAATTAGTGTCAAATCGTTAGTAAAGGGTCGTTAATTTAATTAATTAACAATTATTACTCATCAAACTAAAAAAAAATACTTGAAACTAAAGTAGAGTTATCCATAGTTAAACCGATTTAATGAGGATATTTAAGGGACTAAACTAGAATTATTTTGAAGAAAGTTGAAATCCACTTCAAGTTATGTAAAGTGCTTGTGCTCTCACCGAAAATGACTTTAATAAATTACTGAAAAGCTTTTATTTCTTGTATTAACATGACCTCGGATATATTATTTTAAACATATTTTTTTCTAAATACACTTTTATTTAAAAAAAAAATTAAATAGTGATTTTTTATTATTTATTCATCATCTAAAATGAATTTTCATCCGCACCATGTCATGTCATGGTAGTGACAATTAGCAGATTTGTTCTTAGGTAGAAATGGCATAATAGGCATGACGAAGAATAGTAGCAGCACCTCTTCCCTTGTCTATTTACATCCTGAAATCAGGAAAGATCTCTCATCCAGCTCCTTTTCAGTCATCCCCTGATGAGCATTTCACCCGTGTCGTTGATAATTCCATAATGATCTTGGAAGTCCGTGTAGTTTAAGATGAAATCGGAAGTAGAGATTATGTATGTGCTGGCCAATGGTTGGCTGTCTTAGGTCGGTACGTAAAGTTTTGTTGTTGACTTACCAGGGGGCTGCAGTTATTAGTCTTAGAATTTTAGATTGAAAAGATTGTAATTTTTGTAAGTAATGCTTTTTTGCTGAACCATAAATATGTGAGATGTATGTCCAAATTGGTTTGAACAGGTAAGTATAAGTATTTAATTGTTGTCTGATTTGTAATTTTGATTTAGAAAAAAGTGAGTTTAGTATTTTCAGTCATATCATTTTTCAGAAATATCATTTATTATTAAAAAGATAAAAAGGAATAATTTATCTAAAGTTAAGATATGTTAAACTTATAGTTATAGTTATTTCAATTTGTAGTTGTAAATTTAAAAATTTAAAGCCAAAGAAAATAATCTACCATATAGCTATTGCTGTTTAAACGTTTTTCCCACTTGATTTTGTTTGTATTTGTTTTTACCACATAAATATTTTTTTATTTATAATCATCTTGTACTTTATCTCCATAGTTTCCATGGGCTTTAAATTTAGATATTTAATTGCAGGCTATAAATTTGTTTATCAATAACATGAGGATGTATTTATAAGAGGATTACAATATTCGATGACCACTATATTAAAAAATTTAATTAGTGATTATTTCAAGGATTAATTTTTGTTGCTTATTCATATTCTTATTTTTGCAGATAATGCAGTTTACTTACTCCACTGCCACTTTGATGTTGAGAATGACGGAATAAATTTTCTCTGTTGAGTCAGCTTCTCTTTTTTTTTTTTTTATTTAAATAATTCATAAATTTTACTTTGTAATGTAATAAATTAATATTTCAATGAATAAATAAATATTAATTAAAAGTAAAATACACAATCAGCTTAATTAGCTTCATATAAATTATCTACTTTTTTTTTGTAAGCACCTAAGATCCTTCCAGACTGAATTGAACCTGTCAAGCTGGGTCCACATTATTTCAGAAAATTTGGTATGAAAGGTTAATACACTTTTATTTATTTATTTTTTATAACTTATTTTCTGTTACAAAATTATTAGTGTGCTGTCTGGTGACTGTTGCCCGTAAGATGAAAGTGACATACACAACTCTATCATTTTAAAATTTTCACTCTCTATTTTAAAATTTCTGAACGAATTACCTCTATTGGATATTTCTTTATTAATATTTATTATCGAAAATTCGAGTTTTCGGAGGTTAGGGCCAATTAATGTACCATGGTCATTTTTCTAAGGTTTTTTCATGGATTCTTTTGAAAAGACAAATCGTAGTCTTTCAAAAAATCGAATAAACAATTGTCAATTATTTAACTAAAATCCAGTAGCAAGGTTACATAATTTTGTTAAAATGTAAATAGTCCATAAAATGACTTCATGATATTTGCCAAGTGAAAATATATAGTGTATCATGAAATATACATATATACCAAAAAAATATCATTTGGTAAATGCCTGTTACATTATAATCTTTGTTAACGTTACCATAATATCATTGTTAGCATATCAGATCTGAGTTTCATAACATTGTAATATATTTCATAGGAGATAATCATATTTTTTTTTTTTTGGCGATCTACTCTGTGTTCAATACAATTGATCCCTTCAAGGACCTCAGCAGCTGTAGTTTTTGACAAATGGGGTACCAAATTAAGGAGATTAATTGGAAAAAAGATGAATTTGAATTTACAATATTTAATTATTAATACTTCATTAAAAAAAATGTGATGGTGATAATTCAAAGGATTTTGACGAGACTAATTGTGTTTTAAAGATTTAGACATGGAAAACAAAACAAGTTCACGACGTTATTATTGACTTTTCAATTCTAGTTGTACTCACCTAGATGTCACGGAATGCTTTAAAAAATTATAATACTGCTAGTTATTATACTTTATAGTAAATTAAAAATCTTTTGAAAAGGCAAATATAATAAAATAGCTTTGAAATCCAATGACGCATCGGATGATGACAAGTTCCTAAACTCATCGATAGCATATCGGTTCTATTATGCTTAATGGATCTGCTGTATGTAACCTATTTATAACGCCATTCTTGTTATTTCACAATTTATATTAATATCACTTTCTATCTTTATTTATTTTCTTTTTGAAACATAACATAACAATTCAATAGGTAAGTATTTCTTTTGCTTTTTATTATTTTTAATTTATTTTGTGGATATATAGGGGTTTTTGTCTTCCGCTAAAATCCAGTAGATCGTTATTAAATTAAGCATAAACGGTTGTTCGTTGGTTCTGGATAAATTTCATGTATTTTACCAATGAAATTAGCTCTGAATTTCGGAACTTGTCCTAATATAAAAATAAAATTTTGTAATTTTTAATGATAGTGAGTGGTGAAGTTCTTATTTAAGTCTGACTTATATTCTCCACTTTTAATAAGAATGCTTCTCTTCTTATATATCTCGATAGGTCTCAGAAAGTAAAATACTGGGTTATTATAAGCATATGACTTGCTAAGTATAATATCTTAAAAGACATATTTTCCAGTGGATTAACCTAATTACTTATCAGGTAAATTATTACTTTAACACAGTCAGTATATAGTAGTTTTCCTTTGCCGTTATCTTATTTACCTTGAATAGATTTTCATGATAATATTAATAATTAATATTTTTAATATTAATAATTTTGTTATGAGAATAAAAACGAACTGATACCGCTTATAGCTATGATATATTAAGAAGAAGGACAGGTATCTGATGGAAGAATTATCGCACAATTACAGTATTGTCCTTAATAAATAATGTAAAAAAAACAAAAAAAAAAAAACTGGAGATATCCACAAGCTCTAATTTTTTTTCTATACTATTTAATTATCATTAAACCATTTTAGAAAATGTTATTGCAAAAAATGTTTTTCAAGGATTGTAGGTTTGTGATTTATTTCCTTTTTGATTATAAAATATTTTAAGTTTGCTAGTTTCCGTTCTTTACATCTGTTCATTCATATTTGACAATAGAGTTGAAGTAGAATACGTGAACTGCAGGATCTGAAAAATATTTAAGATAAATATATTGTATTGTACATTAATATTTTATCATATTTAAGGCAATAATACAACCTGTAATAGTCTGAGTCTATCAATGAATATGAAAAGATGTGTAACACCAAAAAATAATTTTAATAAATGTGACAAATATTTGATTTTTGACAAACGTTGCCACATCAAAAAAAGAAAGTGAAGATAAAGATTGCTCTGATGATGGGAAAATTGTCCCGTTAGAGATAACAAATGTAATTAAAAGAATTTGAAAAAAATTAGAAGTATTATTGTCTTAAATATGAAAAAATTGTATATGTAGGCTTCCTAATAAAAAAAAGAAAAATAAGAAGATAATTAATATTTTAATTTGGTTAAAATAATGTTAAAAATGAAAAAATCCTAAAAATTCTTCAATGAAACTCCAACATACAAGTGAAGAATTAACTTGCCAACGTTTCGCCAATTTAGGTATCATCAGGGCAGAGAAAACAAGATCGCATATATGCAAAAAAAAAAAAACAGACAGAAGGAAAGAGAAGATTCTATTCACAGCAGCTAAGGAACGTTATATTAAACAGCTGATCAGGCTTAATACAAGGGGAAAATCTGTTATAACTAAAATACAATAATACATAACGTATTAAATTAAGTAAAACAAAAAAATCAAATATTTTTTTTAAAAATCAAATGAAAAAAAGTCTCAATACGTCTGATCAGCTGTTCAGTATAACCTTCCTTAGCTGCTGTTTACAGAACCATCTCTTTTCATCAGTTTGTATTTGGATGGCTTCATGAGATGTCTACAGCTGTTTGTTTTTTTTAATTGTTATTTCATTTTGAGTTTTTCTTCTACATACATCTGATCTTTGTTTTTCTTCCCTGATAATTCCTAGGTTGTCGAAACGTTGGCAATTTATCTATTTTGTTACTTAGATGTTTTCATGTATATCATAATCACTTTACGTCTCTGTTGTAGCTTTATGTTTTTTTAAGTAAAATAATAATGTTTCGATTAGGACATAAATAGAAAATTTGAAAAGTTAAAGTCTCCAATTTAAAGATGAAATGTTAACCTGTCAACTGTTTAGGAGTTATCGGAACGGAAAAGACAAAATAAAATTGTATATAGCATTTGGTTAAAATATTGTATATATCAACTTTTTCCAAGTCAAATTCAACCTTTTCCAAATCAAATTCAACCTTAATTTGCCGAAAAAAAGGTTATAATTGATTTATAGTAAATTTTCGAATTTCTTCGATATGAGGTTATCTTTATTAGGTAGTGCTAATGAAGGTCGCAAAAATGTTTTATAATATATCGTCGCCATTTTTGTTTATGGCTAAATACATACATTCAACTTAATGCTATTAATGTTAAAAAAATCATTAATTAAATAATTAAATATTAACTAATTCTAACACTAGAATTATAAATATCAGAAGGAATTAGTCGAGGGTGCGGTCAAAAAAATAAAAAAAAATTAAAATATATAAATAATTTTAATTTTTGCCGACGTTTCGACCCACTTTGCAGGTCGTCTTCAGGGCGTTGGATGTGGCACTGCGGGAGGTGGTTGAAACAGTGTTTCAACCACCTCCCGCAGTGCCACATCCAACGCCCTGAAGACGACCTGCAAAGTGGGTCGAAACGTCGGCAAAAATTAAAATTATTTATATATTTTAATTTTTTTTTATTTTTTTGACCGCACCCTCGACTAATTCCTTCTCATATCATATCAACGGTCAACCAACTCTACATAATTATAAATATCGTTCAAAAACGTTTGGAGGCCGCAACTACGTCACAGAAACCTCAATTCCCTACCCAGACGTTATAAATTTTAATCGTTTCATAATGAAGAAAAATAAACAATATGAATTAACCTTTAAAAAAAAATATTGGTAGGTATAATTTGTGAAATACTTTATTTTCAGGACTCATACTGTGAACTATTAATACATTTTTTCATTACAAGAAATATGTTTTATATCCATACGACGGAATCAAAAACCCAACAGCTCATATATTTCCTATTTACCGCTGATATCCCAGCCCATCCCGATGCCTTCCTGGTAACATTTGATGATAACACCGCCATCGTATCAACCATCTTATATCCCGAAATAGCATCCTCAAATCTGCGAAAGCACCTCTCCTTGATCGAGCACTGGTATCATAAATGGCGCGTTAAAGTAAATAAATCCAAATACAAACTCACTACTCTTATACTCCAGCCAAGAACTTGTCCACCAGTCCACTTCCTTTCCATACAGCTTCCTTTTTTAGACACAACTAGGTATCTTGGCTTCATTTTAGACACAGAACTAACGTAAAACAGACATAATAGACTAAAAAGACAAAAACTTGACAATCGGTCAACTATACAGACTACTAAACAGAAAGCTCAGCTTTCAATCGACAACAACTTACTCATCTATAAGATACTCCTCAAACCAATTTGGACCTAGGGACTAGAAATATAAAGGACAGCAAAATTTTTTAGCATCAAACTCATCCAATACTTTTAGTCCAAGGTCCTTCGGACAATAGTCGATGATCCGTTTTATTTATCCTATATACGTTTAGTATCACTATAAAAAGTTTGGTTGAAATCGTCGACCCTCTGGCGGTAGCCTCCCTTTGTTAGTATATATTGTAGTATATACTTGAACTGTTTGTATTATTTTCTTATTTTCGTAAAAAACAAAACAATGAAAATGGTGATGAAGATATACTGATTTACTTGGAAAACATTATCAAACCTTTACCTAATAACTTTTAATTATGTTTTTTAGAAATAACGTTTCTACACATCAACAGTAAAATCCTACATCCACGACAAATACACTACATTTCATTCTTCAACCCAAAATCACTCCAATCCTCTGATTCATTCTATCTCCTGCTCCCTGTTACCTGAACAACGCAGATTAAGAAGAAAATGGCCAAGAGACATACTACATCAATAAAAACCAAACCAAGAAAAAACACCAAGACTGTACAAACACAACAAATTTGCTAGATGCGCAGCCGCGCAAGTGCAAATTGCATAAAATATAAATAATAATAAATAAACAACGTTTCAATAATATCATTTATGTATTTGAAATATTTGCACTATCGTAAAAAATACAGAAATTAGTCATTTATTATAATTAACTGTTGCTAAGCTTTTATTTCTTGTTTTTCCATGATCTGGAATGTATTGTAATAGAAATAAATAACTGAATGTATATTTTATTTATAAAAATAATAAAATTTAAAATAACACTTTTCTAAATATTTTTCATGTAAAGTGGTTACGTAATTGTATTTTTTCTCCCACATTTCTGTCATAGGAATCTATCAGCATTTATCAGTGAGAAACATAATGTTTCTATTCCTAACGTTGACGTTTAAAATAAAGATACCTACTGATTGCTCCAATTATTTTCATGAAGACGTAAATATTAGGGCTGAAAACGTTACTGTTGTCACTTATAGGTACGGATATACTTCTATGACTGAGATATGGAAGAAAAAAACCCATTTCATAAATATTTCACATGAAAAATATTTAAAAAATCATTATTTTTAATTTAATTTTTTAAATAATAAAATATATATTTAAACAACTAGTTTCATTATAATAAATCCCAGATTATGGGATATAAACTAATAAAGCTTTGCAAAAGTTAATTGTAGTCATTTTTATTGAAAACATGGGTATTTTTAGGATGTGAATAGAAAATCACATCATTTCTTTACAGGACTGGCGGTGAATCCCAAGTTTTTGCTTAATAAACCTTAATGTATTTAATATAAACTTAAACCCTACTAAATGAGGTAGTATTTTTAAAAGTGAGGTAACTGTACCATAATTGGATGATTATTAAAAAAAACGCGTATAATTTATTATTTTTTTAAAAAGCAGAACTTAGCTTATAGTTTAGCCGCTCAAATGTCCTGTTAAAATGATTTTAATAATGAAATACTTTATTTTTCAAATAATATGAAATACTTTCATGTGCTGGCCTCCCAGTTCAATCCCGTTGAGCCTCCCAGCACACGACCCAGAACGGAATAGAATAAATCCAGAAAAATGGAAGAAATATTTTTAACTGTAAAAACTGAATTAAAATTAGTTTACAGGATTTTGAAAATGGCTCCTGGAGCCGAATCGTCTAATAAATAATACAGGATGTAAAAACTGTGTACATTTGGTGACCTATGGCCTAATATTTTATTAAAAAAATACATAAGAAAATGGCACCGAACCTGAATGATATGACTAGAAAATTAATTAATTAATATAAATATTTCTTAGGATATCGCATCCTATTTAAAAAAAATGGACTTTAAAAAAAAAAAACTCAAAACTTGGATTTTCAATTTTTCTGCTGAAAATTGTCCTATTTTTTATGTCAACTTTTTTGTAGGTCTTGAAATCTGGTATAAATCACATCATACTTTCCTTCTACTTAATGGACACCCTGAATACGTTAATTTTATTATTTTTATTATTATATTTATTTTATTATGAACTCACTGTCATTAACGTTTCCCGATTCACAGGATACATTCTGATAGCGGTGAGTCCAACTCCTTTTCTCGCTCCGATCATCATTATCTGTAGAGCCTGTCTCATAGGGATACTTGCCTTGTACCATTCACTACTGTACGCAGTAAACTGCAGGTCTGAACTCTATCTGCGAAAATAAGACTTTAAAAATCATATATATTTAACTAAAATATATTTTTGAAATATTGTACGAATTCTTTACATTTTCTATTATCATTTTTACTTACCGCCGACTGAATGAATGAAGAGCCGAAACAGAACAAGCTCATTTCAACTCCTTGAAACACCAATATATTAAACATTTTGAATAAGAAAAGAGGACTTCTTGCATTTCCCTTGAAAAAAAAAAAAAAAAAACATAATAAGTAAATCTATAATAAAATATAAATTTAAACATTTTCATACAACTTACCAATAAGTATTGTACTGCACCTATAATTAATACTAATATCCCTGCACCTAAAGTAAGTGTAACCAATGGGTTGTATACACTCCTCAATTCCTTTGAATATCTGTAATAAGACATATAAATTAAATATATAGCAAACAGTCTTAATTTTTCTTATTCCTTATTATTGAGATATTTATTTAATTATTACATTCTATCAAAAAGAAAGATCAAGGTTTGAAAAGCAGAAGATAATCCGACAAATATATTTTACTAATACAAAAAAAATTTATATAGACAAAAATTTTTAATATTACACAAATTTCAATCCAATCCCGTTGTACAATAGTCAATGATCCTTATTATGTTACAAACAAAATTGTACATCAGTACCTTAGCATCCCTTATGCCCTTCACGTTATTCCATACCGATTCTCAAATTTCCATCAGAACCTAACCCACCATTCTAATCTTTTAGCACAATCCTTATCCTGCTCCTTTCATTCCTACAATCAAAGATTGAAACAGCAGTGATCTTTTGTAAATATTGTAGTCCTGACAATGGCCAGCTTCTCCACTCAAGTCATGAGCGACTGTGGTTTTAGTGCACTATCTCAGTCCCCACTGGATTACCATCTCAATGATATGGCTGAGAGAAAAGCGGATCACTTAGAGAATTGCCTTGTCCTCCACATGGGAGGAAAGGACCTGATTCGAAGCCCCTCGGCTGATTGTAAGTTCTGTAAATAAATATGAATGTGATTTATATTTTATTTAATGTTGTCTCAAGTTGTATTTTTTTTTACTAAGTTTTCTTTTGTTTATAAAGTTTATATTGCATTTGTTATTCCATAGATGGTATTAATGAGGCGAAATGTATTGTTTCTCAATAGAATATATATGTTTTTATCTTCAAATCTTCATCCGCACCTGTTATGGTAGTGAAAATAAGCATATTTGTTGATAAGGTAAAAAATGGCATGATAAACATGATGGAGAATAGTACCCAGCAGCACCTCTTCCGTGGTATTTCTAGATACTGAAATCACGAAAGAAGATCTTAATTTCACCTCTTTTTCTTAATTTCTGTTTTTTCAACATTTTTTAAAATGCTATTCAATGAGTAGTGTCATTTGCTGTTAAAGAATAGCATTTCGTATAATTAGAAGATATTTTTATTTTAGAATATTTTAAAATGGTTATTCAAAGCACAAACGATAAAAAATATATCGAATAAAGTCAAGTCTCTCCCGCTAAAAAGATTTTTTATCTGTACAATATCTTTTACAATATCAATAAGATTATAATATTATTTTACTTCCCAGGACGGGAGTCCCCGCTGGAAGTTAGACCACAACTCACATAAAAACAGAATAAAAAAATAAAATAATTCTTAATATATTACTGATTAAATGTAATAATTAAATGATATATGAATATATTATTTCCATTGTGAAAACAATTTTTTTTTTTAAATCTTGATAATTATAGATTTCCACAAAATGAATCCGATGCAATAAATTTAGTTTTCAAAAACGAACCTAATTTTTAGAAATAGTGTTGTTGAAATTAGTTTTGTTTTTCAAGAAATATCCATATCTAAATTGAATTTCTTAAGTATTTAAAAATAAAATAATCAAAAGCTTTTTTAATATTTTATTCGAATGGAATATAACTAATAAATTTATGTTATTGTGTTATTATTGTAAACTAAACGTTAAATTTTTGTATTACTTTAAAAAATTTATTTGCGCCAGTCAACTTTTGTTAACAATCAGCAAGTCTGCTGGAAATACAAGACATAAATTACATGCCAGGCATGCGGAAGGAGATTAGGTTGTTAAAGGAAGGAGATTTCTCATCCAACGCCTTTTCGGTCTCCTCCTCGTGTTGAAGGGTATGTCAGCTGTGATCATCTCTCTTAGTAGTATCTTATTATATCCATTTAAATTAGTATGAAATCGTTGGTAAAGGGTCGTTGTATGTTGGTCAACTGTTGGAAGGTGGAGGTCAGTTTGTAGATATTTGTTAGTCACATACCAATATGATTTTGTTATGAGTCGCAATAATTTTGATTGGAAGGTTTGAAGTTTTTGTAGGTGGGTCTTTTTAGCGATACCGTATAGTTGTGATGAGTATGTCCATAAGGACATAAGTAAGCATGTATATGTATTCAGTCTCTGTTTCAGTTTCAATTTTGAAGATTTAGAAAAAAAAAAGTATAAAGTCCAACTAAAAGTTCCGTATCAGTCTAAAGAATTTGAATGTTGTCAATTCGAAAGTGAGTGCAGGTGCGTTATTCTAATAGTAAATGTAGAAATAATAATAAATCAAGAATCTTAATCAATTATTGATTAAATAATTAAATGATATACTAATTTCTTATTTTAAAGGATCTTATTTCCAAATATATACATATCTAAATTGAATTTCTTAATTATTTAAAAAAAGTAATTAAAAGCTAATTTAACTTTATAATACACTATATTTCTAGCTAATTCTAACCTTAATCAACATTTTTTTCTGTAACAAAGTGGGAATTGAAGTTTAATCATTTTTAGATGTTTTTTAAATTAAATCATATTTAAGTTCCAATCTTTTTATTACTGCTAAGATAATTCAGATGATTCGGAAAGATGTACTACTAAAAAAATTGTCTATTTTTTTTCTAAATATTAGTTTTAAAAATATAATTAGATTATAAAATATAGCTGTTGAAATTTTATGAAAATTCATCAAAGATGATTAAGGTTCAATTTGAAAATAAACGACTTATAAATAAATTAAAAAAAAAATGAAAAATTAGACAAAATTACCACCTTAATAGATTTTGATGGTCTTGAATTATCCTGCGGAATTCATCAGGTATTTTTTTATCTTCATTAGGATGCGCTGTATTATCCTTTGGATCGAAATTGAAAGTTTCTATATGGTAACCAAGAGCGACGAACTGAGCATACAGACAGACCAAGACTTGAAAAAATAAACAAAAATACACGGTAAGAAAAACCATAGCCCAAGTAACACATGTGGCTTCGTAAAGAAAGATAAGTTCGAAGTAAGGAGATTCAGCCATCGGAAATGGATACCATCCACCTAAAATCTTTTTCCTTCCCGTAGTCACTGCGTACATGTTTCCTGTGTGCTTGAGTATATAATCAACTGATATATCAGGATAGACAAGAAATAAAATCAGGACGACAGTATTCAAGACCGTATAAACCAAGCAAACCAAGTTGGAAGATTTACTGATACGGTTGTACAATTGAGAAAGCGGTTTCTGTTTTTTTTCTGGGATGACTAGAAAATTTGTCTTCAATAAATCGAAAAGTCTGCTCTGACTTTTTATTCGGATCCAGAAGACAAGAATCCTACAACACAATTGCACAGCACCCAAAATATTTAGATTCAAAAAAGTAGCCTTCTGTATATCGACTTTAATATAAAAGTAACTGAAGCATTGAAACACGACGTATGGTATTGCGAGTATAAACGAAATAAATACTGAGAATTTGATGGTGGAGTTCCTCTTCCCTTTCGTTCTGTAGTCATTGATGACCTGCCAAAGGCCGAAGAATTTGAGGTATCTCACGTCAAGACCGATGATATCTGACTCTTCGATGGCTTCTTGGTCGCTCATAGCTGCTTCACCTCTTCGACTGAAGTAACAGAGACACAGCTGTGTGCTGCCACTTTATAAACCAGACGATCTGTTATTAATGTTCTGATAATTTTCCGTAAATGAATGTGTACATAATTGACGGTAAACGAGGAACTGTAAGGGGAATAGTGATGAATTAATTCTCATTCCATCAAACCTTTTTCATATCCCATGGCAGAAGAATAATTTCGTTTCCTCAGATGATTATTACGCCATATAGTTCATTAAAATAATATACAATATTAAATTATTAATAAAGACGAACTTATTTATATATTCTTTGAAATTGACTCATCGCTTAAATAAGACTTGACATGTTATGACAACTTATAGCAATTACGTCGTTCTATTTATTGAAGTGAAAACTTCTTTAGGCGAGTTTTGCTCTTTTTTGGCGAGTTTATTAGATTGAGCCGTCAGATCTCACATGTGTAACGCTCAGGTAAAGTCGGCTGAAGTCGACTAATAGAAGTGTTTGATTTTCTTAGAACTTAGAACTTACTTTGAAACGCTTGATAATTCAATAAAAAATAATATCATGTAGAATTAGTCGGTGGTGTGGTCAAAATATAAATTTACCGCACCACAGACTAACTTCCTGTAAAAAAAAATATCACATATCATGAATACGATAATCAGCAGATAAATATTTAATAGTCAATATTCAAATCTATAACTAAGACAGAAACTAAAAACATATCTATGCTTACTATAACTTACCTATACTTGAACCCATACGGATATACTCCTTAAAGGTTATATGGTATAGCTAAAAATACCCATGTACAAAAACTTTCCAATAAAACATATCTGAAGTACCTAAGACTAAAAAAAGCTTAATTAATGACTTCCATCTGCTTACAGTTTACCAACACACAAGGACTCTTTTCAATTGATTACATACTAATTTACACAGACATACTAACAAACTAATCAGAGATATGTCTTCAGTTGACATTCCCGTCAATACGAAGAGGTGATTAAAGAGCAGTGGATAAGAGACTTCCTTCCTTAACAAACCATGGTAATTGAACCAAGCCAGGTAAGTGTAATTGAACCAAGTACAGGTGAGTGTAATACTTTCGTATGTCTGATATGTTGGTTTCATTATTTTTATCAGACTAACTTTTGTTTGTTAACACTTCGTTGACAGTTGCAGAGGAATATTTGAAAAGAAAAAGAAAGATTTTATATTACTTACTGATTTTCTTTTTATCATCCAAATTTAAGGAATTTCGATATTAATTTGAAAGCGATTTCTTGTTGAAGGAGGACATTTATGAAGACACTGGACTTGGTTCATTCAATTTCCCCCAAAATTATTAATCTTGTTAATTAACAGTGTTTCAACCGCCTCCCGCAGTACCACATCCAACGCCCTGAAGACGACCTGCAAAGTGGGTCGAAACGTCGGCAAAAATTAAAATTATTTATATATTTTAATTTTTTTATTTTTTTTGACC